CGGTGTCTTCTCACTGCGGAGCTCGGGCTCTAGGCATGTGGGCTTCAGTAGTTGTGGCATGCAGGCTCAGTAGTTGTGGCTCACAGGCTATAGAGCGCAGGCTCAGTAGTTGTGCCACACGGGCTTAGTTGCTCTAGGGCATGTGGGATCTTCCCGGACCAGGGCTCCAACCCGTGTCCCCTGCATTGGCAGGCGGATTCTTAACCACTGTGCCACCAGGGAAGTCCCTCAGGTTCATTTTAGAAACAAACTTCTCAGGACTAAGGTGATGGTGACATGGTTCAGATCAAATGTCTTGGTGGCAAGCTGGGGAAAATCATAGGAGAAGATCCCAGGCCTGTTGTCTGTCAGCTTGGCAATGATGTTTGAGCATTGACCTGGTTGTGAGGAAATAATGATATCGTCATCCTGTCCTTTATCTGGTCCAAAAGTAGAGTGCAAAGAGCTCCATACAGAGCTCTTGATATAAGGCTGTGCAAGGCAGATGGCCCTCACATCAAGTGTCTTGAGTGGTGGATGACCTGTGAAAGCAAGTTCCTTGACAAATTTTTTAGTGACCGTGGACAGTAATTAGCTTGGAAGGATGCTGTGGGAGAAGACACCACAAATATAAAGTATATTTGAATTGCCTCTCAATCAAAAGAAGAAATAGAAGTGACCAAATAAAAATATTTGGAGCCTATGAAATTAAATTTCACTGAAAAAGAAATAAAAATGATCATTTTACATATGAAGAGGCACCCAACCTCAATGATGGTACGGGGAAAATAAATTACAATGCCAGTATAATAGTTTTTATTTCCATTATATTGAAAACTGAACGTGCCTTTGTAGCATCTCTTGTCATCATCAGTGGAAACAAGCCCTTTGATGTACTCTTACAGGGAGTATACATGACTAACATCCCTTTTGAGGCAGTTTGTCTCCCCTTTTGCTTCTTCAGGATCTGGGCTTTAGGGGTTCTGTGGGGCTGATGTTTGTGATGACTTTTGGTATTTCCTGTGTTCTTGGGCCTCTGGTCAGTCTCCTTCGGCACTGATAATTTGATTTCCTGGCCCGCGGTCCCCAGGAAGGTCACGGCTTCCGCTGGAGGGGCCCTTCCAGACCTGGCGGCGCTGCAGCCGTGGGCGGGGGCGGGGTTGGGGGTCGCTCCACCCTCCCATTGGGCTCTGGGGCGGCTCAGCGGCAGTGGAGGGAAGAGATCCTGAGCCAGGAGTTCCGGCTCCGCATAAACGCGGGCTCCATTCTGGGCGGCAGGGTTGGGGGGTGGGGCCCCTCTGCCCTTAGTCATTCCGGGAGGGAGGTAGGGAGGCAGGGGCTCCCGGGGAGGGAGCAGTACGGAGCGCCAACCTTGCATGTTCGATCCTTGAACTGACCCTGGGTAGTATGCCTCAAGGTTACGTTAGGGGATGCCTTGGACTGTTATCTTCAGCTCTCCCTTTGGCAGTCTTAGGGTCAGTTCTCATCAGTTTCTTTTTCTTAGGACCAATTATTACCCCCACTAACTAGCCTCAGACTCTTCCTAATAGGCTGTAAACTCTTTGCAGGCAGGGATTAAATCCTTCTATCTCTCCATACCAAGCACAGTGCCTGGATTCTTACCTTGAATGTTGTAGAAGCTTAACACATGGTTTATTGGTAAATTAATTAATTATAAATGAGACTTCGGGATAACCTGTGTCTTATTGAGCTTCTAATTGTTTCTTCAGCAGCATTAACTGGAAAATGCAGTTTCCCAGGAGCCATGCTTTATCTTCGTTAATGTTGTTTCAGAGAGGAACTTTGTCATGATGATGTAAAATTTTGATTAAATGGAAACAGCAGTTTATTTCTCTTTAACTAATAGCTCCACATAAAATACCATTTGTTATTAGAGAAACAATCGGAAAGGAAAGGTTTTCTCAAAGTATTATAACCAAGGTGTGGTTAAAATGATTTATACTTCATATGTAGGGCTTGCTCAGTTAATGTATCCACTTATTAGGCATTAGGAAATTCTGAGTGAGGAACAAGGTTATGAAATAGATGTGCAAAGATGGAAGTAGAAAGAGACTGTATAGTTTGAATAAGTTAATGCTGTTCTACCAAGCCTAATGTTCTCTTTTTTTGCCCTTTCTTCATTTAGTAACTAGGCCATTTCCCCCAGTATATTAACTATAGCCTAGGAATGAGTGAAAATTTTTGAGCTGCTACATTAAATCATTTCAGGACATTGGGAGTAGGAATTAGCAAAGTATTGCCTGAAGGAACCAAATAATAAGCTAAGAAGGGTAAATGTAACTTACTGAAGGGCCCAATATAAAACCAAATAGTATTACAGCTTATGCACAGGGCTGTCTTGATGTGGTGTTTGATCTCCATGTACTCTACTGTCCGATTCAAACAGAGCCAATACTAACCATTTGCCTTTGTGAAAATTAGAAAAATGTGCCCTTCCTTGAGTAAAAATTTTAAGTATGTTATGCACAGCTTGAACAATCCGATGTTCAGGCCTGAAGAAGGTGGGAATGTGGACGGGTACCCTCTCTGGCTTTGTTTGGTGATTTTGGACTCCACCCTCCTGTAAGGAAGGGAAGAAGGGGGGATGGGATGGAGGGGATGATGGGGTTGGGGAAGAGTGGCTCAAGGATTTAATCAGTAGCACTAGTTTCAATTCACCCAAACAGTGGTTCTGTAAGTCAAACTTATTTTTAAATCAGTGACCAGAACACCTGTGTTCTATTAAGAATCATACAGAGCTGCTGCTTAAGAGGACGTGCCCCTTTTTGACTCAGTCTGGCTCTGTGCGATTGGGATGTGAGGCTCATAACCCTGGAAGGAGCAAGCCTGTGTATATATCACACACACGCTCCAAATGTCAGCGCTCACATCCCACTGGTAGTGTGTACATCCTCCCACCCCCACTGTCATCCTCATACCCGGTTTTTTATAGAAAATGAGCCAGTCAGAATTGGGCCTCCTAGAGCCAGGGATGGGTACTGGGATGTGCCAGTGAGTGTGCAAGTATATGAACATTAATGAATGTCAGTGTGGAGTTTCATGACTGAGAATTTTCCCTGTGGCTTTAGGTTTCCACTGGGAGACCCAGTATCTCTTCTCATGCCATCACATACATTCTTATATAACTTCACACATGTCTGCTTTGTGAATACTGACACCCGTCCCCAGCTATGATGCTATTGTGCTACCTTGGATTCAGTTTATATAGGTCTATAGCATTATATTAGGTGCTCAAAATAATACAATGTTTCTGTATTTAAATGAGCACTTTAATGCTTAAAATAGAATCTTGGACATTTTTCACTTGGAGTTTCCACATTTTACTTTTCTTAAATTAATGCTTGTATTTTTTATACTAACTGAATAAATTCAGACCACATATTATGAAATGTAAAAGCCTATATTAGTTACCCATTCTCTAATTGCGTGGTTAGAACTGTATAGCCCCCAGAATTTCTGAACAGAAAGCAATATATGCTCCTTTTAAGGCTCTGAGTCTGTTTAGAACTTGCTAATATGAGCTGGGAGGTAGGAGAGAGAGAGAGGTTTTTTCACATCAGCAGTGACCTAGAGACTCAGTCGGGAGTCAGTTCAAAGCCCCTGAAGACCTCAAGCTCCCCCCAAAATTAAATCCCGATATAAGGTTATTCTTGTACTTAGTGTTATACTGGACAAGAAATATCTTTTAGTGACATAAATTCACAATGAGAATGTAATTTCACCATGAGGTTGTTTATATAGTCTTTTATTTTTAAATGTTGTATTATGGGAAATTGCAAACATAACAGAATTAGAATGAGATAATGAACCCTTATGCAACAGTACCTTGTTTAACAGTTAACCTTTGGTTGATTGTGTTTCCTCTAAAGCCCCTCCCTCCTTTTCTCTTCGCCCCATGTTATTTTAAAGTAAATTTCAGACATTATGTAAGTTCACCTGTAAATATTTCAACATTTATCTCTGATTTATAAAGCCTTTTTTTAATGTATCCATCATGCCATTGTCATATCTATAAAATTAATAATAATTCCTTAATATCATCTAATACTCTTCGTATTCAAATTTCCCTAATTGTCTCAAAAACATCTTTTTACAGATTGTTTAAGTTAGAATCCATGTAAGGTTTATACATTGTATTTGGCTGTTTGTATCTCTCAGGTTTCTTTTTTTCTATATTAATAATTTTTTATATTTTTCTTACTTTTTAAATAATTTTTCAAGGGAGCATAAAAGGAAAAATACTACCAAAATTAATGCATTAAACTTTATCTTTAAATCATTAATTTCTACGTTCTTTATGTTTTCAGATCCATACATACTTAATGCTAAAATGTGGAGGGCTGAGAAAATGGAAAAAAAAAATTTTCCTTTTCTGATTCAAAAACAGGACTGAATTGAGCTTATTACTCAACAGCAGAAAACAAATGCAAGAAAGTCGACCTCTACCCTATTTGAGTTCAAATAGGTCTGCATTAAATCACATTTTTAAGCTATATTATGGTTTGACCTAACCAAAATATCACCTTATAAATACAAAATTTGTAAACAATGTGCCCTTTACTTCTGGGATCTTATCTTTTTTGTCTTTCAGATTTTGGGTTTGTATTTCAGTACAGTGAATTCAAACTAAGGCAATGTTTTCTTACCAAACATGTGAGTGTTTGCATCTTTTCTACCATTACCAATTAACATACCTAAATGGCTTATTCATTTGACAGTATTCCCATTGAGTTCACTCTGATATCTCAAAAAAATTATTCTTTGTAAAAATAGTTAAATCACATATTTGCTTCTTTTATAAATACTAACTTTTCTATTCTACCAGGTTGGTGCATCATTTTCTTTCAACATGGATAAGAGGACAGAAAAAAATTTCTTCTGCCGCTATAATTTTAATACTACCATGCTTGATATAAATTGTGCAGTGCTGCTAAAATGCCTCAAAATTTTACCATTTCTTTTTATAAACTCTCAATCCTGTGATATCTTTCCTTTCTTAGGATATGAACGAGTCTGCCAAACAAGAAGATATTTTGGAATCCACAACAGATGCTGCGGAATGGAGTCTAGAAGTGGAACGTGTACTACCACAACTGAAAGTCACGATCAGGACTGACAATAAGGTATAGAAGAGAGAACACATTTTGTTCAGATAGATTTTTATAAGGCCATTTCAGGGTCAAGGGTACTCCCAGTTACAAAAATGATTTAAGAAGGGATTCAGTTTCCAATGTTTTATTTTAATAGAGATTTAATAAATTGTTGTTGAATGAATAAATAATGTAATATGGCCCACGAAGCAAGGAGTGTATCTTTAAAATGATTTGGAACACATCATATTTCCCTAGGATTAAGGCGTATTTTCTCAATACATTTTGATATATTTTCTTGGCAATCATATTTTGTTTAGGTGAATAGTGAATGAAATTGGAATTCTGTGACTGTATACTAACTGAGTAGAGTTAAAAAATGGTTTAGAACTCTGCTGGTTGACAAAACAGAAGACATCCTGGAAGCCACCTTACATAATCTACTCAGTACACATGATTAAAAGTTTAATATTAAGAATATAATCAAGAAATCATATGCAATAAAGATTTGGGGATTAGGCCAGATGAACTGACCCATTTAATCAAGTTTCTGCTTACTTTTTACCTACAATTTATGAGTAAGAACTTCAGAACAAGCTAATAGGTGACTAGACAATACTACTCTTATTAGTATTATAATAATCTCTATAAAAGGGCTAGAGAGACATCTAGGTAAAAAAATTAAAGGATTTTTATCCTTGGAGGCTAGAGACAAGCCCCAGAATTATGGAACAAGGTTCTAGGGAAACTTGTCACTCTACAAATGTGGTTGTATGTCTGCTCCCCAAAGTAGCAGCTATACAAAGATTGCTGTTTTCAGTGCCTTGGAAGCTAATTCACACTTTGATTGCCTGGATTTGGGCATGTAGAACTGTATCCTAGAGAAGCTAAGAAGTAGCCTAGACTCCTAGGGCAGTCCTAAAATAAGATAAGGACAACAGAGGTCTTCCTGGACTGTGAACAGCTGTGGAACAAGCTTTATCTAGAGTAAGTGGGCAAATCCTACAGCCTGTTTACAATATATTTACCCAATCATTACGGAGGACAGCTATTATTTGAGTACATTGGGGGTAAATTCTCTGTTTATATATCTCTTATATGTAAATACATATTAATAAGAATTTCTTTCCTGATTTGATCTCTGCTGGAAGTCATAATTTTCAAAAATGTAATTTTTTTGTGAAAATGTAATTTCTGATTCTTTAGTTTTGTCAGAACAAATTTTCTTCATACAATTAAACATCACTATTATTGTGACTGTAGTTAGAACAACATGTTAAAATAATTGTGTAGTTGGGAACTCTCAAGTACATCTTAGTCCCGTGAGGAAGCAAGTTTAATTTGTTTACTTTCAAGATAAGTAAACTCTTGAAATCAAACATCTCACTTAAAATCTAATAGGATCACACGAGTGTGTTTTTTTTTAAGAACTGTCATTGATCTCCACATAGTAGAAGTAACTGAATAAAGAAAGAGAGAATATAAATGTAACTGCTAACCTATACAGTTTTATAAACCAATACTGCAGTAGTCAAAATCCTGGATTCTTAAAGAATCAATGTTCTCCTGATTTGGGGAAGAATTAACTAATTCGGAGTTGGACTCTTAGTCTCATGCCATTCATTACCAGCCTTGATCTTATGAGGATATACTGTGTCATTAATTATACAGTCCGTGTTACAGGCAACATTCGAAAATGTCAGATAAAGTTTTTGGGGGGTTGGTATTTTTTCGAATATGTGAATGTCATTTTGAGTTTAGATTTTTGTGGTAAAAATACTGACATAAAGTCCTATTTGATTGCTTTTTCAGAATTCTTCTCTAGATAATTTGGTCCTTGTGTCCAGTGTTTCGTAAACCCTTCTTTCTCCTAAGTATTTCAGCTGTAGCAAATGGGAATTACAGCTTTAGGGTCAATTCTTTATTCAGCTTACTTAAGAAAAATAAAATTATACATTGATTTGAGAAAATAAGGGGCTAATGAATAGAGAAATGTTTTTCATGTCTCAGAAATAAAGTAATCTGGTTATACATGTGGTTTCTCACGGACTCATTATCCTCCTTAATCAGGAAGTGTTGACACCAGAATCATGGTTGATCCCATTCTTCCTCAACTCCTAACTCTACCAAAACCAAACCCTCTCCTTTACTTTTGGACAAAACAATAACCTCTTACTCACCGCAGGCCATTTAGGACCTTTCAAGATTTCAACTTCATGTTTGAGGGGGAAGAAAAGGAATTAATTACTTTCAGATCAATGTGTTTTACTGATCACTGTTACATTAATTTTTAAGTAGCATAGAGATGTAGGAGATAAGTAATATAGGGTCAGCATTGTTTAAAACAATGATAAATTTCTTTAAAATTACCTTGTGTTAGAAGTAAAAAAAGTCCCATATTTATTTGGCACCGGATCAAATGTTTTGCTTTTTTTTCCTCACAGGTTCATTTTAGTCCTTGTATGCTTCCCGACAGTGTATTATATTAAAAAAGTAAATCTTCTTTTCCGTTCTTTTTGCATATTATAGTCTGTATGCTTGATGACATCCTGTCATACACCAGTATTTTATTTTGTATATTCTTCATAATGTAATCAGGTTTTTATTGCTAGGCTAGCTTATCCTTGTTGCTGGCACTACTTGTTACTATTACCAGTTCTCAAAGAATGCAAATAAATTTTAATATTAGCTTAAACAAATTACAACTGGGAAAATAAGTATGTTGCCAAAACTACAAATAATACATTCCACAACTGAAGATAAAGGATTTTTGTCATATGCTGGCTTGAATGGACTGTATTAGCAGTTCCCTTTTTAGAGCTGGGTATAGAGAATGCTCCTGGTGATTACTTCTAGAGTAGCTATATACCCATCTCCGATCTGCCTCAATTTGGAATAATGTATCTGAAGACAGTCAGAAGTTTTGCCAAGAGAGTTGATAAATTCAGCCAAATCCTGGGTCGTTAAACAGGTCAGTAGCCAACCCTAGTTAAGGCCTCAGTTCTGACCAAGTGAGTAAGGCTCAGGCATCAATTCCTTAGAAGGGCAGTCTGAGGACACCTAAACTAGAGTGGATGTCGGTGCCACCTAATAAAATCGTCTACGAGTATAATACATCCTGGACTTTTTGTTCTTTCCTTTTTTTACTCTTTATTTCTCTAACTCTTTCCTTTTCTGATGTTTTTTAATCTTTTTTTTTTATTGTTCTTTATTAGACCCCATAGTAGTGCCCACAAGTGTTATATAACTACGCTGGTGGAATTTAAAACTAAGAGCAAACATCTGTGATTATACTCACTAGACTTAAATCTGTAACTGGTCAAGAATTATCCTAATCTCTGAGTCTTTTTAAAACACAATTTTGTTGTTAATTATAAAAATAATACAGAAGTAATATTTCAAGGGGAGAGGAGGCAGGTAGTGTACTGTGATTTAGAAGCTAGGGATCACACATTTAGTCCCACCATCAAATCCTGATTTATTGACCCAGAGTTTCAGAAACTTAGTAGAACTTTGGTAGCTATAAAGACCCAGAGAGGATGGAGCCTATCTCACACACCTTCCCTTGACACCCAAAATTCATATTTCTACCACTTACTAGCTGTGTGATCTAGGGCAAGCTACTATAGCTGTCTGTTCCTCCTTTCCTCATCTGTAAAATGGGACTAATTATACTCGTTACCTCATGGAGGAGTTGTAAAGAAACAAGAACAGTGTCTGACACATAGTTACTGCCTAGTAAATGTTAATTATTTTTATGTTACAATATTGTTTTGTAATATTATGGTATTCTATGATAGCTCTCTTAGGTTTGTGTCTGTATCAGTATTCAGGAAGAATTTACAAAATTCCTGCCCTAATGCTTCCATCACTTAAGGGAATATTGATAACAATCAGCCTTATATTTTTACCTAGGGTGTAATTGGATTCATATAAGTATCACTTTGGTAAATCTTTCTAATTTTTTCCTTAGTAAAGGTATATATGATATGATGAACATGATGGTAATAAATGATATTTACTAAGTGTTTGCATTGTGCCAAGTGCTGTTCTTAGCACTACGTACATTGACTCATTTAATCCTTTCCACTGCCCTATGATATGCAGGTACCTTTTACTACAGATGAGGAAACTGAAACACAGAGAAGTTATTTGCCTCTGCCTAGTAAGTGACAGATATGATATTTGAACCTCCAATCCAGGCTCTTACCTATTCAATTAGTGACAATATAGCATACTGGTGAAAAGCACAAATTCTAAACTCAGGACACTTGAGTACTCATCTTGAGTCTAACACTTATTAGTGGTTGGAACCTGTGGGTAGGTTACGCAGCCACTCTGTGCCTCAGTTTCCTCATCTGTAAAATGGAATTCATTATAAAGCTTACCTCAACAAAGTTATTAAAAGTATTAAATGAAAAAAAAAAAAAAGGGGGCTTCCCTGGTGGCGCAGTGGTTGAGAGTCCGCCTGCCAATGCAGGGGACACGGGTTTGTGCCCCAGTCCGGGAAGATCCCACATGCTGTGGAGGGGCTAGACCTGTGAGCCATGGCCGCTGAGCCTGCGCGTCCGGAGCCTGTGCTCCGCAATGGGAGAGGCCACAACAGTGGGAGGCCCGCGTACTGAAAAAAAAAAAAAAAAAAGTATTAAATGAATTAACATATCTAAAGCACTTAGAATGGTGCCAGAGGAATCACTTAATATATGTTGCCCACTATTTCTATGTGCTTTTATGTATGATATTGAGATTTTACCTCTTTTTTAACATATCATTTCATCATGAGCATTTCCACATATCCTTAAAAATTACAAACCATACCTTTAGATGGCTGTCTGTAGTGCTAGAAGGTTACTGTCAATCTCCAGCTGAGTGCTTGGTAGGGAGATGGCTTGGCCAAGCTCAGCAGGTTGGGGTCAAACCAGGAATCTGGGTGGAGAAATGACAGGGCATGGTCCTGCAGGATCTGATGCTTAGGATATGGGCAAGCCTAAGGACCAGAAGATCTGAGAACACAGACCAGTAGCAAGAAATGG